GTTCAAAACTTAGGTTTTATTGGATTTGTCAGTTTTTTGCACAGACAAATTTTCTTTGAAGACTTAACTGTAAAATTTCGAAAAATATGTGAGAAGATGCAGAATTTTCCAGTAAACCTTCTGGTGTTTTCAAAATTCTTATGAAATCTGTTTTTGGATCAAGACAAATATTTTTCTATTTTCAGTATGTCATAGTTAGGCAACTAGCACTCTTCAATATTATGAATAGTGCACAAACAACAAAACTGTTATCAGAGATTCAAATAGCAAGTTTTAAGAAGAATTGCCTTAGATGATGCAAATGAGCTTAGAACCAACTCTGTGGACTACCGCACAATGCCTCATGAACAACGAATGAAAGTGCCCGATTTTATCTGGGCCACCCGATACCTAAAGTAACTGGTGATTTTTTGTTTGTACTTCATCTTTCGTCCTCCAGAATTGGGTGTTTCTTCGAAAGAGCTTCAGGTTCACCAAGTAGTTGCAGAAGATGAAGACCACTGAAGGAGCATTAAGTTCTTGATGAAAAAAGATGAAGTTCTGTTGAAGAAGCTCGAAGTTGTTGAGGAAGATGTAGTACTCGTGAAGAAACACCAAGATCTACTTCTTGAGGAAATGTGTCGTAAAGAAAGACGAAACTCTTGATGAAAAATAACGAAGGTCTGGTGAAGGCACAACACATTTTTGACGAAAAGTGTTGTGTTTTTCTCCATCACAACCTATGAGGGCACAGGATGCAGAATTTGCGTTTGCGACAAATTGTTCTCTAGGAGAATCTGCAGAATTTGCCGCAAACGAAAACACGTGTTTACTTCCGTTCTGCAGCTGAAAACGCGTTCTCTAGCGCTAAAGTCGCGTTTTTGGGTGATCCATCGATTAACCGCGGTCATATAACCATATAAGTGAGTCATCGAAAACCGCGGCTTTTGAGCTAGAAACTCATCCAGTATCGCGATGAGAGAGAAAACCAACGGCCCCGTCTTAAACTCGGGCTCCTTACCAGTGAAAAATTACCGATATATGTACGTTAGCTGTGACAGTACGACTCTCCAATAAATCTTCTGCGGCTATCGTAGAGAACTGTAGAAGCTAGAAGATAGGTATCTACATCTACTGGTATGTTTGTACTAAGAGGAATACGGGTGGAAGGGAGGGCGGGAGGTTTAGAGTGAGTAACATAACAACACCTCCGATAGCCGCAGAAGATTTATTGGTGAGTCGTACCGTCACAGCTAACGTACACATATCGGCAATTTTTCACTGGTAATGAGCCCGAGTTTATTGTACGCATAAATTATATATTTCAAATAATGGTCCCAGTTTTCGTGATTTGATGAACAATATTTTGATAGTTGTTGACAAAATGTAGCGTTAAAGCTTTCTACTTGTCCATTTGTTTGTGGATGAGATGCAGTGGTGAAGATATGCTTTGTTCCAAGCATTTGGGTGAAAGCAGTGATGAGTTCATTCGCGAAATGAGTTCCTTGATCTGTGATGACACAATCGGGAGCACCGTGATGCAAGATGAAGTCTTCCAGCAGAGTTTTGGCGGTATTAACAGCATTACTTGCCGGTAAAGCAGAGGCAATAACATATTTAGATAAAAAATCTGTAATAACTAACACATATTTGTTGCCATCGGCAGACTGTTCAGGTGCTGGGCCCCACCAATCCAGGCCAATCACCTGAAATACTTCATTGGGTGGTGGAATAGGCTGTAAATGACCGGATGGTTTTTGACGCCGAATGTTGAATTGTGCACATTGTGGGCACGATTCAATATAGTTAGTTACGGATTGGAGCATTTTCAGCCAATAATATTCCTCGTGGAGATGATGATAAGTTCGATCGATGTTAAAATGACTTCCGAGTGGATGATCGTGGTGAGCGAACAGGATGTCTGGTATGAGGCTGCTAGGTAGATATGGTAGAGGTGTAGGTTCGTGTTTAGTTAGAACAATTTTATGCAGCATTCCATCGGAAATAAGATAAGATGGATTAACTTTTTGTTGAGAGAGTCGAATTTCGTCCACGATTATCGCATCATGTTGTTGTTCCGCGCGAAGTTTATCATGACTAAAATCGAGAATTCGAGATGACAGTGGTGGTGCCGTCGAAGAGAGAGTTGTCGGTGACAGTGTCGACGTCGGGTTTGGAGATGTCTGTTGAGCCATAAATCGAGTGGCGACGGCCCGAAGAAGTGAAGATTTTGGAGGGTATTCGGTTGTAGTTTGACGAAGAGTACGTGGTGGTTTAATGAGAGGTTCATGCCATTCGTCGCCTTCTATGGAGCCATCAACATCAGGAAAGAAATTTGTTGAACGAAATAATGCATCCGCCGCTCCGCTTCTTGATCCTGGAATATATTTCATGTCCACTTTGCGGGAGCATGTCTTGGATGAAGAACAAGCAATTCTTTTCGCTTCTCTTTGCATTCATTTGATGGAAATTTTTCCTCTTTTCTTGGTGTGCACGTTCTTAACGATCCGAATGCTTCTCCACAACAACTTTATATTTTCTCCCGAAGAAATCGGTGTTTTTCGACAAGAACTTCAGGCATTTTCCTGAAGAAATCGGTATATCTCCACAAGAACTTCAGGCTTTTTCGTGAATTCTGGGCAAAATGAGTCGTCCTCTAGCCTTCTAGCACATTTCTAGGTTGAGATTAGGCCATTTTACTTTCAGAGATCCGGCTGACTCGAAATCCTTTTATATAGAAAACCAAAACAGCAGATCTCTAGGTGGAAATATGGGCTCATCATCTAAAGGATTTTTCGAGAAACTCGCACTTTTTCAGTCTTTTCCTAATTTCTCTTAAAAGGAAAAACGTTTTGAAAAAAAACGAAGCATACTTTTGTGGAGCAAGACACGGCAACTCTTCTGGCGTATAAAAGAAGTCTCTAGCTCTCATGGCAAAAAGCTAGATAGCATTGCGCAGTGAGAACCTCAAGATTCGAGCGATCAGTGTTTGATCAGCTACAAGAGTTTAAGTCTTGAAGAAACGTCATCGAATGACAAGTGCCTACTCTGTAAAAAAAAATGGTTTATTACGAAACCTAAAAGGGTATAGAGAATTGCAAACATTTCTATACCCTTTTAAGTTTCGTACGAATCTGGCTTCCGTCGTTCAGCTACGAAACCCCCTATTTTTGTATTGACGAAAAAGGTTTCGTACGCCGGGTTTCGTATTAATCCCTGTCAATAGAGGTTTCGTACACCGGGTTTTGTTTTAAACCTTGTCAAAAAAGGTTTCGTACAAACTTAATGATTATATTTCGGCTACCTCTCAAACTTTTCAATCAGGCCTTTTGTATTTCTTAGCTGGCTGATATCATGTATTCTTGTAAAGCTACCTTGAGGACTGTATATTGGTAGTAACCGCAAGTACATTACAAACAGATTTCTTCATTTGATCTCTACAATCCATGCAGAAAAATTCTATATTTAAGTGGAATCATTTATCTTAAACCATTTTAAAAGTGCATTTTTCCTAATTTTTAAAGCAAAGAAATTATACTAAAGATCTAAGTAGAGTCATTTTCCATGTAGAGCTGGGCAAGTCAAGTCAAGTCAGACTTGACTTGAGAAAAACGTTTTAGGTTCTCTGACTTGACTGACTTACAGAATCTTTTCGTTGACCTGAGGCTTGAAAAAGTCCTGACTTGCCCAGCTCTGCGTGATACAAAAGCAGGGAAAAAACGAGCTTCGAGCAAATACCAGTATATGCTCACATTAATGGTACAAAACTGTTTCAAAACGCCTGAAGCCCGATAATGATATTAATTCCAGACAAAAGTTTATTTCTTTTCGTTTCATTGATTCTTTATTAATGTTTATTCAACGGTTAATCAAAAAAAATATCATATAAAAATAGACAACTGCTACGAAAAGACTTTGTTTTTCGTAATTTTCTTCCTCGTAACTGTCTTTCGGTTACTGGTGGTACTGGTACTTTTCTTTTTCTTCCTTTTGTCACTGTTTGTTCGCCATCTTTGGTTAGTTCTACAGTTTTTGTTGTATAAGCATCTATGTGATGGTGATTGATTAAAGTTTATCTTTATTTTAGACCTTGTGCACTGAATTCAATTATTATTAGCTTCTTTTTTATCAATTAATTAAGGTATAATCTATCTATTAGCTTTTTTCTTTTTTTCTGATCTATTGATTAAGTTGTAATCAATCTATAGTGAGATTTTAACTCAATTATTTCGTTGGTCTTGAAGATGATAAGTGTATCTTATCGAAACCTCGAACAAATTATTAAAGTGATTTTTGAATAAAATCTATAATGATATTTGTAGAAGTTTTATACTCAATAATTTGTTGGTTTTTACTTTGTTGTGGAAACGGGCCATCGACTCGGCCTCATCATGTCTTTCACAATAAATCATCACTGATACAATGTTCATCGAAGGTACATCAACCGCGTCGTTACAAAAACAATAGTATTCGCACGTTAAACGTTTACCGTAAATATGATTCATTTACTGTTAATCAAAGAGAGATTTTCGAAATAGTCCATCGTTGGAGATTTAATCGTTCTAAATTTCTGAAAAAATCGGAAATGTGAGTTGAATAATGAAAAACTGAAACTTGTTATTAGTGGATTTGCTCGATTCTAGTGTTGTGTTGCATAATCGAACTTTGCAGGTATGAGAGTTGCCACCTTAACTCTTGTTCTATTGATGCTCAATTGTAGGCCCTCTTCTGATGTGGAAAAGTGTTAAAAGAAGAGAAGACGCATCTAATCACGGGTATACATCTGACAGAATTAAAATAAATTTTGTTTCCATTGGAGATCAACGAACAACATCACACTATCCGTGTGCAATGAAACATGATGGATAAGAAGCTATATTTCTTTCGTCATACATTAGTGTGACGAGAGATGAAATAAGTGAGAAGATCATGAGTCTTCTCTAGCTCTGCTTCTGTTTTAAGCCTTAATTTTGCGAATAAAAGAAGTTCTTTTCGTTTCTCATTCTCGCTATTTTAGTAAAATGTTATTGGTACATGCGGAACAAGACCTAGATTGGAATACAAATGAAGAGTTTCTCGTGCATTCACATGCACTTGAGAAGGTAGATTATTCACCAGAGCATAACGTGGAACAAATAACACTTAAAGATCAAAACCCAGCATCACGTTCTCAACGTGAGAGTACGTACCAATTTTTTCCATCTAATGAGCATGAGGAAAGTCACAGTTATGTAAGAGTGTCGTTTTCTTAAAAAATTAACAAAATTGGTAGAAGAAAATATTACTGCTTCTGATGCACAAAGACAAACCATCCCTCACAGACTAAAATTTCTCAAAATTTCCCTTTGTTATTACTGTGATTTGTTCTTTAGAGAAAAGACGTGGAGGGAGACAGAAGAGAAAAGTTAATTTTAATTTATCAATCTGTAATTTGCACTGGAGTTGTCATGTGCAACAAATTGTTCAAATATTTATCCAACGAAAATATCCAAAGCCGGGTGTGAATATGATGCTGGACGAACGAGGACGCTTTATCGGCTTAGCTTAAGTACATATGCCGAACGAAATTTTATCGAAGCTAATGGATGATCAGTAAGACGTCCGTTCAGTATCAACGGCAAACATCAACTCAAAATTCGACGAATGGTGCCGAGCGAGATAAACTTATTTGTTGTACTATATCGTATTGTATTGAAGTAATCTTCGCACCACTGTGTTATGGCATTTCAACCGTTTTCATTCGCGAATGGTTTACCTATTATGGAAAAATTGATCATATCAACGCGTTTGAATGTTCAGTTTTGTGTAGAACAAGTTGCCATTATTACGTATGCAAATTTTAATTCGGTGGACAGAATTGTTGCTTCGAAACCACTTGATCCCTTATTTATTGAACATGTGGAAAAATTTGTCAGAAAATTGGAAGAAAATGATCCACGATTACGGAATCATCAAATAAGAATTGAGAAAGTCAAGAAAAAACGAAATCTGTATCACGAACGAAAAGAACAACATTGAGAGGTTAGTTTTGCCTAGCAACATTCACATTATGCCTCTGAACGATATGAAAGTTAACACATGAGAAAAAGTATTAAAAATGAAGTTATAAACCTTAACAGTCACTTGAATTGAATTAAATCAATATCTTCTCGTGTTTTAGGCTATTCTGACCAAATCGATTTCATTCATACGTATAAAAAATGCAAACATTAATCAGTGAACCACATATTAACATAAATGTTATTTCATTGTATTTTTTCCTTCTCGGTGTATTGTAAATTTTTAATGAACAGTTGAATAAAAGACAATGTAACGTTAATAAAGAGTGCTAAACGCGACTAAAGCAGACCCATGGGCTCTATTTACACGATGAACTCGACTGTTTACAGAAGCATGAATCAAAAATTCTTTGTTTTCAGTTGTAGTTGAAAAGTTTTTTCATATGGGCTCTCTTAATCCGTGAAAGGAATGTTGTAGACCAAAATGTTGTTTTGGTCCCGTCAGTTAGACGTTTTGTCTCAGTGTCTCCCCTATCTCGGCCATTATTTAGCCGCTTCCTGCAACTTGTTTCAGATTATTGAAAGTGATGATGAGTCAACATTATGTGTCAATCTATACAGGAGTCTCCTGTTTGAGAAATGGAGAAGAAAATGCAAGATGTTGTTGTGCAGTTATAATGGAAGATCATGATGAACTGTGAGTATTTTATTTTATGGAAAAAAGTGCTCATTTTAGTTTAAACTGTTTTTATTTAGAATAAGAAATAACTAGTAATGATCACAAGCGAGTGGGGAAGCACTCATGATAGTGACCATTATTTTGTATAAATGAAAAGCAGAATATAAGCAACAAAAAAAATGAAATACTAAAAACGAAGAGAGAAAACGAACAGAAATATAAGAAACATCAGTTTCGCATGAACCTTGTTTAGAAATCAGTATAAGCTGTAGTTGTATGAGGAGGCAAAGCACATCAGAGATGGAGAGAAAGGATCAAAACTATTTTTTCTTTTAACTTTTGCTTGCAGGTAGAGTACCGCTTAAAATCGTCGTGTTTTATCAATAAAACAAACAACAGCATCATGAATTTCTTTCATTTCATTCAGACTTAAAGATTTTGCTAATAGCAAATGATCTAATGTTAATGCGCCTAAATGATCAATTGAATCAAATAGAGCTTTCCTGTCTGTGTTGTACCGCGAACAATGAAAAAAGTAATGGATCAAACTTTCTCTCCTACCGCAGGCAACAAATCAGTATCACCGCTTTTTAAAATATTTTTCTCGTTTAAACATTGTTTTAGAGGAGGAAGATGAACTCTGCATCTTGTGTAGGCTACCTCCAAACGACGGGGAACATTTATACGGAAACATTGTCTTATATCACCACTTCTATTTAAAACATAAAAATAATCATTTAATTTTTGCTTGAAAAGATGTACCTTGAAAACTGAGCTAATCGCAGTTGGAATGTCATTCCACTCCACTGGTAATATTGCAAAGAAAGTATTATTTACGAGGGAACCTATGGAGATGAAGCACTCTGATTTCGTTCGTTCTTGCGTGGATCGATAGGGCATGTGGAGTGGGTAAAAAGCCTAAGAGAGTTCGAGCGGAGACTTTTCCCTTGGGGAGTTATGGGCATTTTACGCATTTTCTCACGTCAGCGGAAAACAGGCAGAATTAAAAAAATCACAACTCTGTCCAGGAAAGTCGTAGAGGGCTGAAAGCTTTTTTGGTGGTGAGGATAAAGGTTGTCTTCATATCCTGCAAGTTTCAGAGTTCTATCGCTTTCTCTCATTCAGAGGCAGAACTTTCCATAAACGCCATGAGAACACTGCTTCGTCTGTCTGTGTCCAAAAATCCAAAAACTCATTCACCGAGAGTCATGCCTAAAATAGTCTAAAAACTTTTTATATATTCAAAGCTGGTCAGATTTCTCAGGCTATAGTAGCTGATGAATCAAGTGATTCTGATGCATTATTTATATGTGTACCGTTTCCACAACTTCTGATATACTGACAGCAAGCCTTGTCGCGTGCGTTTCGAGGAAGCTTTATAAGACGTGATAGAAAGGTTTGAATAAGTACTAGAACTTGACGTTCACTATTATATGTGCGATAATCAGCAAGTGAAAATAGTTTAATAATCAAGTGGAAACAAGCCTAATAGTCCTATATTGTTTAGTTATAAACTTGTCATTTCTTGAATTTTTCCACGAACAGCAACGTTCATAGTCGCATTAGCATCAACTCTCTTACACGTTTGATGTGTGAGATCTAGCTGTTTCAATGTTCGATTTGTTTTCATTGCTTCATAAAAAGTCTTGACACAATTGTCGGTTATTTGATTTTCATGAAGATCCAAAACTACGAGGCTGTTGTTCTTGATTAATGCAGTTGATATAAAATTCGTTCCTGAGTCCGTTATCAGATTATGACCCAGCCGCAGCTCCTCAAGCGTCTGATTCACTTTTAACATTTCAGCTAATTCTAAACAGCCGTGATCGCCAATTTTGTTCCAATGCAAGTTGATTACTTTCAACATTTTGTTTGTTTTCAGTGATTCAGCTATTAATATGGCACCCTCGTCGCCCAGTTCATTCCAATCAAGGTAGAGTTTTACTAGTGTTGAATTTATTTTTAACGCAATACTTAAATTCCTCACACCTGTGAACGTTACTTTATTATTCCCTAACCACAATCTGTACCAGCATGTGTTCGATGCCATTAATTCTTCAGCAATGATTTCTACATCTTGATCTGTAATGTTTTGTCCTCCCAAAATCATATCCTTGTCCGCTCTGTGCTGTTCGATTTCATGTTTCAACCACTTTTCTTTTGGATATTTTGTGATAGCCACAAGTACTTTTTCCATTGTCGATCGGTTTGTATTTGTGGATATAAAGGACGCTTTATTGATAACTATTTCATTGAATTTGTGCGTTATGTCTGCACTATTCGTGGCTGACGTAGATGTGGTATCGAATGGCGATTGCAGAAATGGAAATGGTGTTTCTACTTCGCGTAGGTGAATAATATGTGTATCGCTACCAATATCGATTTTATCAATGATTTGAAATTGTGTGGCAGGTAGTAGAAGAATTTCGTTCTCTTTTGGATAGTATGAATGGCGACGAATTATTCTACCGTTCTCACATTCAATATTAAATAAAGTACGTGTACCCGATTTACCGAGGAATTGAGGAGACTCGAGCACACTAATGGATTCGGTGCAAGAACTTAAGCCCCACCACGTTACCGTATTTCCTTTCACATACTGTTCACTCAAGTTGAGCTTGACACCTCGCCATACGGTACGTTTCTCGGATGGGAGTTTTAATAGCGCAATTAGAAAAAGTTTCAAATAAGGGAAGAACGGTTTCAATTCTTGTCGATTTTCGGCGCGTAGTGCTGTGTTTAGAACGAAGTAAAGACACTGTGAATGAGGTTCCCACTCCATTGTGTACAAATGTATCGATCCTGATTCATCTTTACTGAGCGAGTCTTGTGGCTCTTGACTGTTTTCTTTAGCGACATAGACTTTTCGTTGAATATCGGGAATGAGCTGTTCAAGTGGTTTCACAGCCATTTCGAGTGACATAAGTGGAACCAATTCATAACCTTCTATCGGTAATAACATTTTACGTGGTTCATCCTCAATATCGAAATAACGTAGATTTCTCATTTCATCAAGATTGTCTTCTTGATATTTCCACGCCATTTGCTTGTTACTTGACACAAAAACTTTCTTTTTCGCTACCTTTACTCTATAATATTCCTTTAGAGTGAGAGATATTTTATAGTTATTCATATTTTGAAAGCATGGGCAGAACAGAAAGAAACACGGTAGATACAGATAATTTGTAAAATGTTTGTCAAGAAAATAAACTCTTTCTTTTCACTCTTAAAGGCGATTCATTCACTAGTCGCTTTGAATAGTGCAGCTAAAAGGGGTTCAGATAAGCGCAGAAAGGTTTCAGTTCTTGTCGGTATTCGACGCGTGGTGCTGTGTTTAGAGCGAAGTCCTGTGCTCTTCAGGTTCTTGTTGCTCCAACTGAGTGACCAGGCGGATCCGGATCAGAGCATTTTTAGAAAAGTTCTTCGACAAAAGTTACTGTTAAACTTTCTCAGATTGTGCAGAACACTTGACTGCATATACTCTGAATTGCTTTCGGAGAGCCGATAAGTATTCATGGAGTTATAAATTAATCAAGATAAAATTTTGGTTGCCTCGAAATCTACATACTGGACTCGTTTGGAGTATCCTAAAGGCATTAAACAATTCGATTACAGTAATAGGCTTAA